CGCTCTTTGACTCGCTTGCGATTTGTCGAGATTTGTACAGCTCTCTTTATTTGATTTTTTCGCTTCATGATTTCCGTCGTAATTCAGCGGTTCACCAATTTTGTCTTGTTGAATAAAACTATTTTGCTCTAAATGCTAAAGATCTAACTACTTTTGTTTGCAATGATTTTTATACATCGATGGAATACATTAGAAAAATTAACTGAATTTTATTATTTATCAGAGAGTTAATACATGACCCAACGAAGTAATTAGTTTGTTCATAAATAACTGACGTATTTGGTTTCAAAGAATTCCAAGTTCAAAAATACCATTTCGCGAGTAAAATGTTAAAAGTCATTTAAGCCGAAACATTGTAATGGGCTCTAATTAGCATTAGAGTTCTAAAAGAATCGCATATGATATGCCGATAAAATTTTCTTTGTTAAATAACAACAAATTTGAATTTTTACCGAATCATATTTTACAATCATGAATTAAAATTAATAATTACTTTTAGGAGGAAAAGAATAGGAGTTCGATTAACATTCGGAGAATGGTATGCAATATATTTTGATCGAATTAACTCGATGTTAAATTTTTTTGAACTTGACCGCTTTTGAAGCCCACCGCCCTTTAGTTTTCTTGCTTAAAAATGGAAAAATCGATTTTGATGCCTCATGAATTATTGATTTAAAAACTGTATTTATAAAATAAAGCCTGTTGAATAATAATTACTTAGTTCGTATCTCACGGAGATTGAAAGTTGTTTTTGAATCTTTTGTAACGTTCATAAATAAGACTGAACGGGTAATAACACGTAGGAAAGTTTACGTAAACTTGAAAAAAGCGGTCAAAGTGATGTGCAAAAATGAGGGCCGAGTCGTAAGTAGCGACGGAAAAGGATAGTGCCGTATCTCAGGCGTCAATCGACACGAGTTGAACCTCGGCAAACGTGATTGTCCGAGAGATCGTCAGTACGGAGAGAGGCTAGATAGAGGCGCATAAACGCATATCTTAAGCAGCTGGCCCTTTCCCTCTCGTTTGACCGTCAGTTAAGAGACGACTCCGAGAGTGCGTGCGGGTGCGCGCGGAGAGCTTGCGTTGGATGTACCTTCCCACGCGGCGCGGTAATCTCGCACGGCGCTGCCTTGCCAGGTGCCGCGCTAATGCAAACACGCCAGGTAAGCAGCTTACACTCGAAGATTGCAATCTAATGACAACACGAGCGGCCAAAGATGCACACCGCTTCGCCGTCACCGTTAATTTCATAACGAGTGCTTTCTCTGCTTTCGACTGACGAAGACATTGCTGCGGTTAGCCATGATGCGGCGGCGACGTCGGACAATACAAAGCGCCACGCGCGGAGACCACTCTCTCTCTCTCTCTCTCTCTCTCTTTTAAATGCTTAAGCAAACCGGGCGATAACGCGTTCTAGACTTGACAATAATAAACGCCAAATGATGCAACGGCAAGAAGAAAATTTAGTGGCTTACATACTTATTAAGGCTCTCCGGACTTATCTCATTTAGCACAAGAGCTCCACCAACCACTTTCGTTCTCTATGAAATCAGCTTGCTTTACAAGCACTCGAATATCCACGTGCTAACAATTTCTTCCGCTCTCTTTTTTTTTCTCTCTGTTTACAAGACAATCAAGCGGCTAACCATTTAGATTAGCATTTAATGCTTGTCACATTAATGATCAATCACTTGAATTTCCAGTCCGTAACTCCAATTCAAATATATTTTTTATAAATATTCCTTTTAGCTGTTCATATGTGACGTGTGCTCATTATTATTTACACGCGAAATAGTCATTTCCTTGACATTATTGAATACAAAGTTTGTGCTCATCATTTTACAAAAACACTAGGCCTACCAACGTGCAGCATCACATCATAGCGAGAAATTATATGAAAGCGGCGATGAAAAGGATCGCTAATTGAGCTCGTCAACCTATTGCAAAAGGTAAAAACCGACTAGGCTCGCGGAACTGCGAGAGGCATAATTAATAAATGGCACTAGACATACAGTTGCTGCAGAAGATGCGTGACGAGTAGATGACCGAGAGTAAAAGAGAAAGCGACACTGCGCTTGCGATAAATGTGTATTGTACTTAATGCACATAGAGCTGCGCGAGTAACGTGGATGCTACTACCGACAATATATTCCGTAAGCCGCGCGCCGCAAATCATGCCCCTCACCTTCCACGCACGCCTTACTTCCTTTGCACTTGTCCGTGGTCAGTCGCGCTCTACCCGAAGGGCTTTCATGTCGTTTGACGGGCTGCGTGCACGAAGTACTCGACATGAACATTTTGAACTCCTCGACGTGGCATCGCTGATCGAGCCTATTACATACATCGTGGGAATCCTATAAGCACAATATATCTTCGTGCCGTTTATTTCGCTCTAAGTTTATATTTCAAAAGTTACCTTTACCACATTCAACGTACACTGTTATGTATGCTACCAATTATCAACTAAAACTTACCACCTAGAAATAAATTTTCGTTCGGCTGTCAAATTTAAAGATATCTCGTAAAATGATGAGTGATGTGACAGGTGTGTGGTTTATACGTTACTAAACCAACGCTTTTTAATTAATTGAAGTATTTAATGACAATAAACATTTTTTGCAGCAATACTTATACTTAAGAACTCACTAATATTGAGCAAGTTTAGATTCACTCTGCCGTGAAATATTCTGCTACTCGTGTATCGATACTACTCGTATTATACATGAACTACACTTTATTTTGAAAGTAGCGCGCTAAATTTTCCATTTTGTTCTTAGTTGCACTACGCATCATTAAAAAATAGTTGCACTACTTGCTGTGTATAGTTGAACTACCTTCAATAAATGATTAGCTGTACAGTTGAACTACTCTCGGCAAACAAAAAATAACGAAAATTTAAGAGTTCAATGGAATTTTAATAGCAAAAATTGAGTAAATAGACGTATTAAATTACTATCTACGTGTGAAACGAAACGAAAGTTGAGATAAAATCTTTCGATAGAAAATCGATAAAAAATTACATAATTTAAATATACTAATGTAACACTATATGTCGTACACCCTCAACTTTCGAATTAAGGAACATATAGTACACCTCTTACGTGTCTCGGTGACCCTCAAAAATCTATATACCATCAAGCATCTCATGCATAAGCATTGCTGGCGCGAATGGAGGAAATACTTTAGATTTTTTCAACCTGAACTCGAAGTAACAGATGCAAGGTATAATCCCTATAAATGAATTTCCCCCAAAAAAAATGAATTATGGGATATCCACTAACAAGAATACCTCTTGAAAACAAATAAAAGAAACCCTATAAGGCGATCAGATCGAGTAATTGAGTAGGGTTAATGAGAAAAGGAGTCTTGTAATCAATAGAGAGGAAGGAAGGCCGGGAGGGGGGGGGGGGGTGCAGACCAGCGGCGAACGGGCTGAAAAATGGAAGGAGAAAGACGCAAGAAAGCATCAGAAGACATGACACTAAGCGAACAAACACGATATTACACGGACAGTCCCTTCCTCAGCCAAGGGCGATTATAGGATACATCAAGCATATGGGGTAACAGATTATAGGCACAACTCGCAAGCTGGGTTACATTGGCAGGCTGCGGGATAGTATAAGCACGCTGGCAAGGTAGCCTTTTGACGCCTTATAGATAATTTACCAGTATCAAATACGCTGGTAACGGAAATAAGAAGAAAAAGAAAAAGTGAGAAGGGCGGTCTTCGGGATAATCACGATAAGAACGGCAGAGCGTAAAACATACGCAAACGATCAAGACCATCAGAGAAAAACTACACCCGATGTTTACCGATGTGGAGCTCCAAGGCCAGATAGGCATGGAAAGATGGAAAGATCCTATTCTGCTTACATGAAATTATCACGGGGATGCGATCCTTCTGAAGATCGTCGATCTAGATTGCACTGATATTATAGTATAATTAATAAATGTAAATCATATAGTATATGATTGAAATTATAGTACTATACACAAAGAAGATGTTTAGGGGTAAAAAAGCAGGGGTTTGACTAGAGAATTAATTAAAAAAGTGAAAGTAGTGGAAACGACAGAGATGAACAATGAGTATATATTATGAGGATGACCTTTTCAACGAAGAGTAATGCTAATGTATTTTCACGCTGGAGAGTGAATGATAATGGAAGTTACTTTCTATGCCATGTAAAATTATTGGCAGGATAGAGTTAATAGTTTTAGGCAGTCAGCCAGCCTCTGACAGCTTTTTGAAGTGATCTTAGTTATGGGGGGATCTTAGTTAAGGTGAGTTCCGCCACATGATGGAATTAAATACATACCAACCAAACTAGCGGCGCTATGTTATGCTATTATGAACTACAAGTCAAGTTTTCAGTAAAGGTAACAGTGATACCGTAGTTACAAGATAATATCGTAAATTGTATAGTGAATGTAAAGGCCGCTATTGTTCTGTTAGAGCTAATAATCATATTACAAGAAACATTCGAAGACGGTAGTATCTATGACAAGATTATGATCAGATATTAAATTGATTGAATGATATAATGAAGTATATGATCGCGAAATACCGACTTTCCTTGCGTAATGAAGGAGTTACGATTAAACACAAGTTTAGAATAAGCAATTGCTAAATGTATTAATCGATAGTCGATTTGTTTATTCTACCTCTACTCTATATTGCGAAACACAATTTAAAGAGACGACGTAGTCAACACTTCGTACGTTTGAGAAGCATTAATAATTCTAATTGAATCCACTTATCAATATAATTAATAAATATCATCTGTTTACTCTCTTGCTGGAGAATTTCAATTTGCCAAATGAAAACATGGTGTTCCAAGCTTTCTATTACAAATCAGGGCCCGGCCACTTGTGCACTTTTTCTTCTAAAACAAACTTATTACTAACTAGTAACTCATTTGATTAGTATAACAATGAATGCAACTGTCCAAAGTTATTTTATTTGAAATATCGTAAACAACGGAAATCTGCTGTTATTGCAGGACCCACGATGAAGATTCATACACTACTTTTAGCGATAGTTATGGTCAGTGTTACAGCCTCTGACAATGATACGCCAGCTGACGTAATGGCCAGGAACATTCTGGAGTGGATTCAGGGTATTTATCGTCAAGGTGTTAGAAAAAGTAAGTATATGCAGGACTTATGAAAACAAATTAACAGCAAATTAATGTTAAAACCATACCAGGCTCTTACTACTAAATATTTTTTTACTATGATTGAGTAAGATGCTTTCGTGTGAATGTTTGTATTTTTTACGGTGATTGTGTAAGATGATTTGAGTCTTCACTTGTTTTAGACATTTTTCTAAGGGATTTTCCACTTCCCGACATACGCTCCCCTCCCGACGTGATGATCTTACATGTGAACATGCTCGATCGTACGTCGAGAACGAGCTCTATTCACTTAGAGCATCAGCCTTCATCTTTCAAAATGAAGTACCGAACTTATCATAGGAATCGCGCAAAGAAAGCTAATCTAGAGCACTAACCCGTGGTAAGGGTTCGTCATCGAACTAGCTCAACGGCGTCTTCCGCACTACAGCAGCGGTACAGTTTCAGCTCATGCCGGAGCGTTTTATCCATTACCCCGCAGAGTACAACCCATTTCTGGGACTGAGAAGGATAGCTCATGCTTTCGAATTAAGAAAAACTTTCTAGGCTTGTAGTTCCACCCTGCATATCTGTATTCAACTTATTTTTTGAAAATTGCATTCTGAAAATCTCTTTGTTTGAAACTATAACTTGTTCAGAGCAGAGTCATTTCTGACTCTCCTTTTCGATTACTTCTATTAAAGGTTTTCTTGAATCTTTCTCAATTTCACAGAAGAAAAGAACGTGCTTTGACGTTTATACCCTTCCACAGCTACATCTAGGAGTCTCGCTTAAGTCTATCTTGTGTAGGTAAGACTCAAAGGTTCCAATTCCAGTTAAAAACTGAGTGGTGTAGTGGTCTGGGTTCAGCTATTTTTTCTTTATTCTTTTTTTGATTGAGAGAAAGAATCTATGAGTTGTTTGGTCTTTCTCATCTGAATCCTATGTCTGTTATCAGACTCTTCTGATTTCCTCATCAATCATGAGTTCTGCTTTCTTGATGTCGATTCTGCCAGAACTTAACTCATTAGACTCTATTCTAAGATTGAACAGTGATACATTTTTCCCTTTTATGGCGCAGAATTTGGAGACCTTTCTGACCAGCTCAAGGTCGATTAGACATGCAGTAGTGAGAGTCTGCATAGCGGTCAGAGAGGTTCCTTTGTATGCCATTGTGGTCAATTTCAGCGCTTTGCATTAAGCTGAGTTCAATGCCTTTCAAGTCTTGCAATCTGATATGGGCCAGTACCCTGCTACGGCATATGTTAGCTTTGGCAGGAAGAAATCTTTATATATATATATAGATTAGCGATTAGAACTTGAATTCCCATGCTGCTATTGCAATGTTTTTATTATTGAATTGTAAGTTTGGCCACAGGTTATTCCGCAATTTTAGCTTGGCTCAGTACCTTGAAGCCCCTTTCAATTGTTACTCTAAGGTATTTGATCGTCTCTTTCATCTTTACGTTTCTTGTTCAATCTTAACTATTAGGTGCCTTGTTTAGTTTAAACTTCTTTTCAATAATATTAGACCTGATTTTTCTACACTAGTTTCATCTTGTCTAACCTGCACCAGTCTGTCATTACACTTATGACTTCTTGTGGTTGCCTTTCAAGATTCAATCTATTGTTCGCCTTTATGATGGATATTACGTCGTTTGTGTAAGCTAGTACGTCGTATCCTGCTTCTCTCAGAGTACAGAGTGGCTTATCGAAGATGATGCGCCATCCGACTGGTCCGAAGACTGACCAAGCTAGCACCCTTTAGTTAATTTTTTTCTAACTTCATCGAATAATACTGTGATGCATACTTATCTATTGTTAAGTAAATTTTCAGGAGTCCATAGATATGCTTTGGGCACTTCCTTCTTTTTATTTAGACAAGCAGGCTGGGCCACCATAGGGCATCGAATGCTCCTGAGATGTCTAGTGGAATAGCTACGACGTATTCGAAGCTATTGTTAGCTTCTACTTCTACAATCTTTCGTAGATGAGAGACTGTATCTTCTGTGGATTTTCCAAACCTAATTCCATACTGATCCGGTGAAGCTCATTCGTCGCTGCTTATGACATTTGTCATACGAATTATCATTAGCCATTCCGGTGTTTTGCCTATTATGGATAACAGACAGACAGGATGATTTTATCACATTCTCCAGTTTATCAAAGCCTTTCAATAACGTGATTAGTCTTCCACTCTTCCATCCGCTTGAAAATAATCCAATAGCTGAGGAGGCGTTAAAAAGTCTCGTTAACTCTGATTATAATGGACTAGTTTTTACCAGCATTATTGCCTTTATTCTGTATGCCCCTGGACTTTTTCTGGATTTGTTCGCTCTTAGAGCTTCTCTAACTTCTCTGAGCATGAACGGTGGTGCGTCGTCGGCCTCTGGGGCCTTGTGCATGAGTCCTCGTACCTCCGCGTGCGCTTCGGACTCCGTACTCATATCGTCATCGGGGACTAGCACATTCAACAGGGCATTGCTGGTTTCGGCCCGCCCTTTGCTCCATTTAAACTTACTGTGCATGTGGCTTTCGTGCTACTGACCTTACCTGCCGCCTGTTTGTATGGCAGGGACCAGGTATTTTTCTCGCTTTCGATGGTATAGTAGTCTCTGCCAGCTTTCTATTTTTTGGCGTTTTACAGCCTTTGAGTAATTAAAGTTGATCCTTTCTAGCCTCTTGACTGATTTTTTATGAATCCATCTGCGTCTTCTATTAGGAGCATCTGCAGCATATTCGAGAACCAGGTCCCATTTACTTTTGACTGCTTTTCTTTGCTTCGTCAACGATATATCCTACAAGGTGCATTTAATATATCTTACTTTTGGCGGGATAGACCTGCTCATTGCTCTTATTATCGCTTCTTCTAGTTTTGAAACATAAGTTTCAATTTCTAGTCGATTTGATAATGGCAGTCTCGCTGGATCTCCTTTTTCGATTTTGCATTGTCTTTCAAATTTCTTCTAGTCTGCCTTCTTTATATTAAATCTCGATTCTGAGATCTTTTCTAGAGAAGGACCTAGATCTGAGGAGTGATTCATGGTTATTGGAATTGATCTTTGATCGCTTATTGTCCTGTTTCAATTTATTACCGACCAGTCCTTAAGGAGATTCCTCAGATTTGTTGTGTGAATTGTTACATCTACATTTGATTCTCTCTTCGTATTGCAGTATATCCTAGGCTGACCCTTTCTAATAGCGATCATCAGACCGAGGCTTAGGATGAGTTCTTCAAGATTTTCTCCTATTTTGTCAGTCTTATCCAACCAAAGCTTTGCCTTAGTTTACATCTATTAGTACTTTCTTCCCTTCTAGGTATCTATGCGCCCTTTCAAACTTTTGCAGGTATTGCTCTAGGTCATGGGCAAACTGACAATAGAGATTACTCACGTAAATCTCTCCGAAACTCCTTTTGAATTGTACGCATGCACAATGTGAGTTACATAGTTCTAAGATCTTAGTAGCTGCTATTTCGTTCGGGTTGAAGGGTATGGCCGTCATTATGCTTTCATTTGTTTTGACTCTATGTATACACCAATATTATTTCCTATCCCTATGATATTGCCTTTCCAGTTGTAAGGCTCCTAAGCTAATGTTGTCTTAATACTTAAATCTCTGTCTGCCATGAGAACTCGGAGTTCATCATTCACTCTAGATTTCCTATCAAGATTTAGTTGTACTATCTTTGGGCATAGAATCCTACTTTTTCTGAATAGATTTCTCTGATATGATTTTTTTGTGGAGGGGCCCTCTCTAACCTGTGTATTCCTAGGAAATTGTACGTTGGTCGTCGAGCATGAATTCCCGTTATCTGCGTTTGATTTGGATTCTCTTGTGCTTTAGATCGCCTCCTTTTTCGACTGTTCTAGTTGTTTTTAGTAGTGGTGGTTATTTCACTTCCTATGACTTGGTTTTTCTTTGTGATATACAGTTCTTTGTATATTAGCGATTACTAGCTTTCGAAAGAGCGAGCTAACAAGTGAGTGAGTTGGCAAGAGTGTGTGCTTGTTGGACTTAGCTTGGTTACCTTGTTGCCCCGCTGCCGCTGCAACGGCTCTATAATATATAATGATTATTCTTACAGACTATTGTGTAAAATTATATCAATAAATCTCCAAATATAAGTTATTTAAAAAAATAAATATAGAATTATTATATGGAACTTTCATATGGGTAATTTATAGCTCGCCAGGAGAGTAACGCTTACTTACCACCGTATAGTACGCAACGGCCGCCAGAGAAGCCACGACCATTTCAGCCAGCACCAACACAGCAGCCACCAAATTATTCGAATCCAAGTCAGAATGAGGTGACCGGCGCTTTCCCGGATTACGGAAGTCCACCAGGTTATACACCCGGAGGACAAGGATTCACATCTAATCGACCACCTTCGAGACCGGGATTTACCACTGAGCAGCCTCAGTACAGCCAAACGAGCGCAGGTGGCTCTTCGTCAACATTCGGTGGCTATTCAACGTCTTCCACTACATACTTACCTCCTAGCCAAACGCCCAACAGCGGTTACCCTTATCCCTCTCCTGGAAGCAGACCAACTCCAGGATTCCCAACGCCTAATAGGCCCACGCCTCCACGGCCTGGACCTGGTATTTATCGTTATTTTATTCTACTTTTTTAACGTTCTACGTGATAGCTTATTTTTGAACGAATGCCATTGACGTTTTCTGCTCGACAGATGGAAAGTTTATTCAGTAGAAAAACCGATAAAAATAAAAAGCAAAATAAAAATGAGTGAATTAGATTTGTTTAAATGGAAAAAATTATCTCTTTAAAAGTTCCTGCACCTGGTAGTGGACCTGGGTCAGGATCTGCTCCAGCCCCAGGACCTGGACCTGCACCAGCACCTGGTCCAGCACCAGGACCCAGTCCAGCACCGGGTCCCGGACCAGCACCAGGACCTGGACCAGCACCAGCACCTGGACCAGCACCAGGACCTGGGCCAACACCAGGACCTGGACCAGCACCAGGACCTACGCCAGGTTAATATATTTATAGAAAATTATTAATTTTATTTAAAGAAAATGATACATGTACATAACTAAATCTTTTACAACTGTTATAAAATGGTGTAAATTCGAGGTGGTCAAATAAAGATCTCTTGATTCAAACGTTCAAATGATATATATCATTGCATAAGCTGTATTATCCCTTTGACTGCTAAAGGCGTATATATACGCCCTCTATTTTTAATTGTTTTGACGTTATTTTTTAAACCCTATTAAGAATGGCATCAAATTTCCGGGTACTGTTTTGGTCACTGTCGGTGTCTACTAGTCACAGCGACTGACAAACGAAAAACGCGCTGCCCATGTAGATGAATTCGTCCGAAAGTCTGCCACAGTCAAAGGATTAAAATCAGAAAAATGAAAATGTTTTTTTATTTAACATAACATTTTATATAAGTGCAATAGAAAATCGCGAGTAAAACTGCCTTAAACATTTAAATAAAAAATTCTAATTTAAGGTCTTTTTTCTATTACCTAAAATTTATTGTTTAAATAAACTTATTTCAAAATTATTTCAAACTTATTTCAGGTGATCTAAATTCATTTAACTTGTTAGTAATTGTATCGCATAGTTATTAGTAAAATACAATGATAATCGAATATTTTTTTGTAATTACACACGCCAGCTTGAAAAATATCGTTTCGAGAAAAATGACGTTGATAACCTCGCAAAACTAGTCCCACAGTACTGACATTTAACATTTATGATCGTTAACACTAATCTGTATAAAATTTATATGAAAATTATTTTCATATAAATTTTGAGTTGAAACGCTGGGAAAGCATGCTTGAAGGCTATATAATTCTGTAGTGAAAAGGCTGATGATTTTTTAAGTTGCCTCAATAAGTATCTTCCCCCATTAATTAAATTATTAAATAATTAAATTCAAATTAAATGACATCGAGTAATTGTAATGAAAGACATCTTTATAATAACAAAAATTATTAATTTTTACAATATTATTTGAAACCATTTACCATTGATATTTAAACATATCAACAGGTCCAGTACCCGGTAATGAAATAACGCCAGGGGGTTCTGAAGTTGATGACGACCTAAAACATCCACCGCATATCCATAGTTTGGATGTGATGTGTAGTAAAACTATGATGACTATCGATATTGAATTTAATCGAGTATTCGATGGCGTTATTTATTCAAAGGTAAAAAACTTTAACAAGCTTATAATTATTATTATTTTTTACGTCAATATAAATGCATATTTGCTTCTCTGAATTTAGGGATTTTTCATGATGCCACAATGTCGATACGTAGAACAAAACTCAAATCAGATGAAGTATACTTTCACCGTCAATTTAGATTCTTGTGGAACACAATTTATCAACGACTTCGAGGGAGATTTAGGTCAATCGTATTTGGAAAATGTATTAGTTTTGCAAGTAAGTTGAATTAATTTTTCTTCATTATTCATCATTGTATATTTTTAGTGTTGAATTAATGATTAGAAAATATTTTTATAATATATATTTGCATATTGATAATGCACATAAGATGGGATTTGACGAAGTCATGTGCTATTTTAGAATGAACCTGGAATTCAAGAAGTATGGGACACAGTGCGCACCGTTCGTTGCTTATGGGAGGGCAATATCAACAAGGCCCTAACAGTCAGCCTCTCAGTGGACATGTTAAATCAGGAAATCGTGACTTTCAGTGGTGACACGGCGACTGCAAAGCTGGACATTCAAGTAGGCAAGGGTCCATTTGCACCGGCAGCTAATGGTCTTGTGAAGATCGGCGAAACGATGACTCTTGTCGTTTCTGTCGAAGGAGATCCTGGCTTCGATTTGCAGGTCAACTAAGCTCTTGCCAGCGTTTACTTTCATATCAGAATCTCGAGCCATTCTCTCTGCCACTGCATTGACGTACGAGCCTCGTAAATTCGATGGCAACTCGCTGACTCCATTGAATGGGTGTTTTTCTGTAATCACACAAAAAAAAACAACATTGGTGGCATCACTAACATTTAAAGGAGACCTTCATTATTTGTATCCATCTTAGCTACTTATATTGGTTCCAATTTGAATGAGCTTGCTTCCACTGTCTTTTGTTAAGGGTTATGGAAAAGAAAAAGTGAAAGTTAGCATTCAACGTATTCTGATTAAATGCTTACCTTCGGTGATTGCATAGAAATAAATGTCCAATATACCACAATTAGGTCGAACGGATTCAGCGCACAACAGTTTTTATTATTATTCATAAATTAATGCTCATCAGCTGCATGTCGCACAATTGACGTTGTTTTATATTTAGCTTGACACTAATTAAAATTTTTTTGAAATTTCAGGTTCGCGATTGTATAGCTAGAGATGAAGCTGGTACTAATACGTATCAGTTAACGGATGAGCGAGGATGCATTCTAAAGCCAAAACTGTTTGGCGCTTTCCAAAAAACGAAAGAAACCGGAAACTCGGGAGCTTCGATTATAGCGTATGCTTTCTTCCAAGCTTTCAAATTTCCCGATGTTATGGATTTGTTCATCGAATGTAACGTAGAGCTTTGCAAGACGAATTGTGAACCTTGTCCAGAAGCTAATCAGGTATATAAAAATTTATTACATGGGTTTTTCTTAGTATATTAAATTGGATTAGCCATGATTAGTTAGGATAATTTACTGAACGATAATGTGCCTGCCTTTATAAATTTAACGTTTCAAACAAAATTCAATTGAAGTTCTTAAATATTAAATCGTTTCTAGCCTTCAATGATATTCAATAATTAAATAAATAAACTATCGAGTAAAAATGGTCAATATTTGAATTGTGCAGCAAATTGAACCAGGTCGACGACGACGTTCCATCAGTTATCCAGGCTCGTCGAACTGGACACGTGAGCACGCCGGAGAAGCAGTACGAATAGCTCGAGGCTTCCGCGTGGTTATGCCCGATGATTTGCCGGATGCTCTGGCTCTTGCGCCTTTCGACGAGATCACCTCTGAGACAAGTTCTCAGCTTCTGTCTGCCGAAGCAACTGCTCTAGGAGTCTGTCTTAGCTATACCAGTTTCTATACAGCCTTCGCGACAATTCTCATTGCTCTGGTCGTCAGTAGTTTGAGTGTTGCGTTCATGTACATCAAACTCCAGCGAATTCGCCATGGCAAGAGCCACGATATGCCAAGGTGCTCTTAAAGCCACACAATCCAATCGACAATAGGTAGAGCAGACTTAAGCCAGCTTTGGCGGACAGACTCTGTGATGTGCGAAATAATTGAATGAATTACAATCCGCATTCTTTCAATAGCGCTGCGGTGTCATGTTGAACGATGTTATTACGATTTTGTAACAAACCATTGTCAAAACCATTTGCAGATACACACGCGCTTTTTTTAAGTTATAACTATGAAAAGTTATATTTCAAAGATTTAGTATTCGAAAATCGAAAAAGACAGTTACAAATAATATTTCAATAATGATATTCTTTTCGTACCAGTATTTAATATCATTGAAATGAGAAAAATATAGATAATTATGCTTAACATCTTAAAGTTTTTGGATTTTCAATACTCAAAGTAACTTTGTAAATTAATCTTATACATAGTTATATTGAGAAAAGATTTACAATGCCTTTAGACAAGTCTATCATGATATATCAAATGGCATGCTTTTAGTGTCAAGTTTTTATAATATACATTTTATTTTTTCATTAAAAAAATTATTATAATGTTACGAATTTCAAAGTTACCACGTTATGTGAGCATTTTCATTGGTGTTTATTCTGGCAATATCTTTTATTGCAGAACAAATTTAAAAAATCTCTATTCCTGATGTATTATAGTAGATAACACTAATTTTCATTAAACAAACCATACATCAACGAATAAATAGTATAAGTGTACCGATGAATGTATGATAACTATTTTATTAATGTAGATATTGAAAAACCATGTGCTATACTAGTAACATTTTTTTAAATGTTATAAATATGTGAAATTTCGATTTATTTTAAATAAAAGATGTTGAATGCTATTTGACACTCAATATCAATCATTCATATATTTTTAAACAACTAATGTCTTCTTATGTAATACAAACAAAAATACTTTTGTAACACAAAAATAATACATGTATTATATCATATAAAGATCTTCGAATAAAATAGATAATATGAAAAACCGACAACATTTTGATGAATTTATATTTTAGTTTGAATGCCCTTACTCGGCACTTGCATTATAATTACACATCAATTTTTGAGTAGATTAAATTACAGTAGTAAATCGATTTATTTGAATTTCATACATGTCGACGTTTTCAATTTATTGTGTCAATCAATTGTCTACGGAATAAATAATCATCTTAATAACAAGAAACAATAAATTATTGAGATTAAAATATTTTATTAGCATATTATATATAACGTAAAAGCTTCTTACGCCTAACGTATTAATTAATTAAAATTTAATTATATTAAAAATTCTCGCCAATGATTTATCTTTGTTGATGGAAGGTAGAGAAATTGAGCCCTTGGGGTGGGACGATATATGATCAAAACTTGTAGGTTGAAGAGAATTTCTGTAATAACCATAATACGTTGTGTTTGATACACTTTCTACTAAAAATATTTCAGATGATTATTTCTGAAAATTCTTTAATATAAAATTATATAAAAACTATTAAAAAAATTATGAATTCTGACAATCATTAATGAATCATAAATATCGACAAATCACCATTAATAAACTTTGATAATATTGGAAAAAGTACATGATTCAGAATATTTATATACTCTTCCAGACTTTATTAATAAAATGTCGCGATTGAATGCAAATATATAATCTGTGTTTTTCGTATTTATTAAAAAATACATTCTAAGATTTCTAAAAATGTTTCTGTAGAGAACTTAAGTAGTTTTCCCTGGTTTGAATGAAAAAAAAAATAGTTTTAACTATTTGTTATTCATACATCTAATCCGTTCATTAGATTTTACTGTCATATTGAAACAACCCTGCTCGATGTAGTGGAATGAATTTTATGAATTATATGTACTCGTGTATAGAAAAGTGTGATTTAGAGATGACAATTTTAAAAGTTTCATAAAACAACACGAAATCAGAAATTTCTAGAAATAATATTGTAGCCGTGGGCGCAGGGTGAAATGAACTTTTAGTTGGAATGAGAATAACTTTATTTAATCCAAACCAAGACTTACAAATATAACGCGACTCGGCAGAACGTAAGCCACGAAGCTGGCATAAGGCCGAGCTGTTAGCTAGTCTCGAGTTCGGGCTAGAGTGTCTAAAACTCGCCCCAGCTACTCGGCGCTTTTCCTCGGAAAATCCCGAAAATAAGGCAAGTCCCTCCCACGAGGTCCGTGGAAAGGATAGCTGGGACCGCGGATTAATATTAATAAAACGAAGGTTGGGCGTGCGCTTTCCCTTAAACGAATTCATTAGCGCAGACGCGCGGCCATCAACGTTTAATGCGTTTATTGCAGATGGCCATAAAACGGTAGACTTCTGGCCAACACGTGGAGAGAAAGTGCACGCCACAATATGATTTTAGGACTTATGGAAACACGGATATTTTTTTTTATTTTCCAAAATTTGCCATTTTTCAAGTCTTGAAACATTTATCACCAATACCGTAGGCGTCCGATAATTTTAAGTTGAGATGCCTGAACATAATCCTGCTTGATATTTATCAGATTTATATAAGTAACATTTAGGATGTAGTAGTAAAAAGAGAGTAAAACTCCGATATAATAATCTGTAAATTTTCGCATTGACATCGGTCTCGAGAATATCTTCAAAACCTCGAATAAATTGGAGATTCAATTTGAAAGCGACAGTTATTGCCACGATAATTGCCTATAGTGAACAAGGAAATACCTTCGCTGGTTGGAAAGCTGTATGTTGTAAATCTAATAACAAGGAGTGTATCAACCTTGTCGGTCACGGACCTTGATGAAACTTTGCACACACCTTTTTTTAATCGAAAATATTGGACATGTATCTCTCAGTTTCTCTGAACAGACCTTTCTTCATCAATTATCCATACATATTCATTTTTCGCTATTCGGCCGACGTCATGGAAACTATGTTATTTTTAAAGACTACTAAAAGTTATTTCTAAAAGTGTGATATATGTTGTCGACATATTTTCTTACGTAGAATACAGTGGTGCAATTAGATTTATCGTAAAACTTATCCTGTCAATTGCTAAAAGCGAAAAACTGAATTTTTTAGTGGTAACATATTTTAGTGTATTTTTTTTGTAGTTTTTTGCTTTTAGCGCTTGACAGGAGGGTAGGTTTTATGATCAATCTAATATTTTTGGAAATAACTTTTTGTAAACCTTAACATAATCCCGACATCCCTTGGCCGTTATCGACAAACATCGAAGACATTAATTTTACGCCAATCTTATGTTTTGTTTTGTTCAACAACTCAACATTTTGTTAAAAACTTGCAATCCGCGTTTTCAATTTTCATCTCTACATAATTAAGTATAAGAATAGGACAAAAATATGGAAGTTTTGGCAATGAAAAAAATTTTCAAAACCGTTAAAATTATCATTAAAATACGTTGTTTACACTTCCTAATGTAAATTATTCCAATTCATTAATAAAACACTATTTCAATTCAACTATTTACAATTTATTTATATTTCTGTTCTGTAAATACATTATGTGCAATATTTGTCGTAGTTTCTACTATCAAAATTATTAGTTGATCGTCAGAGTAATTACAGTCAGAATCTTTAAAAATGGATTGGTCAAATTAATTGGTGCTTAGCTGTTTAGGTTTAATATCGTTGGTGTTCGGTAGTATTAATCGTGCATTCTTTGTACAAACGTTATTAAGATATTAATAATTTTGATATTAGCAATTATATATACGCACGCACACTACGACCATCAGAATTTCAGACGTGATAATTAAATAACTGAAGATTGGAAATATTTTTCTTTTAGACATATGAAAATTAAGTAACCTTGTGACAATCTTTATTTAACTCGGTGGTGTTTAAAAAGTACAGAAATTAACATATAGAATGAATTACAAAATTTATTTATGTATTGTAATTGTATCCAAGTTCTAAAAATTGTTCACAATCGTAAGGATGATATCCAATATATTATATATATAAGAACAATTAAAACAGTGATTTTCAGTACCATGAGCATTTAAAGAAAATTGACTTCGTGCATTTTTATTTACTTTTGCTTAGTTCAAATAAGAATCAAGCTTGTCTAACATTCAGAAAAACATCATATTCTTGAAGTTGTCCAGACATACGTCATCATTTCTTTAAATATTGGTGCTGATAATTGATTGTGTACAAGTGATTCTATTCTTATAACATCATATCTTGATGTTAATTGGTCTTCTCGTTGTTTGAAGTATTTTGAATTGTAAATTTCTTAAATTAAAACTTTTTCTTATTTGTGAAAATGAACGTCCAAAGGTTGAGCATTAGTTGTACAGTCTGGAAGAATAACTTTAACTGTACAACTTTAATTACTGTACTCGACAACAAATTTTTCATACAAATTTTTATTTTTTTTATCCACTCCAGCTATCCAAATGAAGTAAAAATGGATTGTACTCTACATGTGGCAACAGAATATGAAAAGTATGTAAATGAAACAAGATTGATGATAATTCCCAGAGTTTGAGCAAGTTATAAAAATATTTGAAAATTCTTTCGACATTGCTTCTATATCTTTCACGATTTTTGAACATTCTTACAAACATATGAAAACTTTTGGTAGAAGTTTACCTGCTGCAGTGATTGTATATTGAACGATATAACTATGGGTCACTTTATTGTAATTACGAATGTACGTTTTTATAGTTTTCGTACCAGCGATTTCCAATGTTCCGTTTACATTCGGTATGTATTCACAACCCATTTGATCTGTATTGAAAACAGCTCTCATTAATACTTTTTATTGTATTGGAACACTCATCTTGTAATCTTTCAGCTATTGAAAATATAGTTTGTAATTTACTTATTTTTTGTAGGTTTTACATATCTCTTGATTTTGCTTTATTCGCTAATATATTTTTAATCTATTTACCTACAATATAAAAACAATAAATTAACAGTCGTTTTGATTAATCTTTTCAATCACAGAGGCCACTGTAGTGGACCTGATTTCTTTTATTTTTTTGGTCATCCTTTT